GGTTGTGGGATCAAGCCCTGCGTCAGGCTCTGTGCTGAGTGTGGAGCATGCTTAAGATTCTCTCTCTCTCTCTCTCTCTGCCTCTCTCCCTCACTTTCTGTCTCTCTCAAATAAAAAAAAAGACAAATACATGGATATCCGGTCAAACATTCAATTGTGAACTCACAGTTACAAATCTAAGTTCAAGTTTATTTTTAATATGTAATAAATTTGTTAGTAGTCTTCTAATAACTAGAAAGCTTTCCAGATCCTCAGTTGTAAGTTAAAGGATATCTGAACAGAAGGTTTTCTTAAGCAATAACTGAAATTTGTATAAATGTCCAGTGGTAAGCATGATATATTAATATACGTTTTTAAAACAGTAGTATATTTATAATCTTGGCCATTTCCTCCTAACATTTTGAAAGTTTTTTTCAACATTCTAAGTACTGCCAAATATACTTGATATTAATAAACTTGAACTCATATAAATCAGTAGTATTGGTAATATTTTTTGGTTGTGATTTTATAATTACTAAGAGCATCTTTAGCATTTTATATTAAACCTTCTCTTCATGCTTCTAGAAATTTCTGAGATAGGAGTTAAAGAATTGTTCTGGCATCTTATAAAATTTTGTGACATTGAATTAAAAACCAAGAAAAATGATTTTCAAAGTTTTCTTCACTTTTATGTGTCAGTTTAAAGACTACATTTTTTCCCAGACTTTAGATAGCTTTTTTAAGAAAGAGACTTCCATCTACATCTATGTGAAATGGCAAAGAAATCACTCTGCTTTGTGAGTCCCTGTCCTGCTGTAGAAAGGAAACAGCTGGAGTCCCAGAGAATGTAAAAAGGAGGTGGTTGGCAGGTGTTTAAAAGAAAAAAAAAGTTGTTTGTATATTAAAAAAAAAAAAAAGCAAAAACAGTGTATAAATCAAGCTTCTGACCTGGCAATACTGCTCCTTTTCCACAGTCAGTCCTTTAGTGGCACATTACCTTTAAAAATTTCCCCCTAATTTTTTTTATTGTAGTAAAATACACATAACATAAAATTTATCATCTTAATTTTTAAGTGGTATTCAGTGGTATTAAATACATTCATAAAGTTGTGTTACCATTAATCCATATCCAGAACTCTTTTCATTCTGCAAAACTGAAGCTACATAGCTATTAAACAATAACTCCTTAATCCCCCTTAATATCCTAAAGCTGTAACATTCTAGTTTGAATTTATACCATCTTAACTTCAAAAGCATCCAAAAACTTTCTCCTTTACAGTTCCACCTCCACCACTTTTGGTTGTTGATATCACAAAATTGCCTTTGTATAAACTAAACTAATAACTCCTTTAAATCAATTACTATCTTAAATTATGTGGGGAACTAAATGTGGAATTACAAGCCAAAGTAACAATAATACTAGCTTTTAAATTAATAGTTTTAAAATATGTTAGTCTCAAGTCATATAGAAAACAAAAAGTAGAGTTACAAACCGTTGTTACAATAATATTAGCTTTTATACTTTCCCATGTATTTCTCTTTACTGAGATCTTTGTTTTTTCATATGGCTTCGAACTGCTGTCTAGTCTTTTCATTTCAACCTGCAGGACTCCCTTAGGCATTTCTTTCAGGGCAGATCTAATGATAACAAACTCTCTCAACCTGTGTTCATCTGGGACTATCTGAATTTCTCCCCTGAATTTGAAGGACAGTTGATACTATATGATTCTTGGTTAACAGTTTTGTTGTTGTTGTTTTCTTTCACTATTTTGAATATCTCAACCCATTGCCTTCAGGACTTTAAACTTTCTGATAAGAAATCTGCTGGATGTCTTAGAGAGGATTCCTGATATGTGACAAGTTGCTTCTCATTGGCTCCTTTCAAGATTCTCTGTATCTTTTGCTTTTGAAAGTTTGATTATGTGTCTTGGTTTGGGTCTCTGAGTTCCTTGTACTTCAAGTTCATTAAGTTTCTTGGATGTTTATATTCAGGTCAGTCACTGAATTTGGGAAATTTTTAGCCATTGTGTCTTCAAACATGCTCTCTACCTCTTTCTTTTATTCTGTTCCATCCGTGACTCCCATGGTACATGCGTTGGTACATTTGATAGTGTCTCACAAGTCCCTTAGGTTCTGTTCACTTTTCTTCAATCTTTTATTTTTTCTTCTATTCCTCAGACTTGATAATTTCCATTGTCCTGTCTTCACGTTCACTGATTCCTTTATCTACCTACTCAGAAATAGATCTCTCTAGTGAATCCCACTAGTGAATATTTTATTTTGGCTATTGTGATTTTCAGCTCTAGCATTTCTTCTTGGTGTCTTTTTAGATTTTCTATCTCTTTATTGATATTTCCATTCTGTTTATATACCATTTTCTCTCCTTTTACTTCTTTGAGTATCTTTAAAACAATTATTTGTAAAGTTTTTGCCTAGTAGATCTGCCATGAGGTCTTTTTTTAGGGGTAGTTTTGGTTGATTTATTTATTTTTCCTTTGAATGGGCCATAAACTTTTCTGTTGCTTTGTAAGGCTTGTGATTTCTTTATTTAGAGTTGGACATTGAATCTAATAATTACAGTAATTCTAGAAATTAGATTCTCTTCCCCAAGGTTTGCTGGGGTTTTGTTTTTGCTTTTATTTATTTTTTTTTTTTTTTGTATTGATTATTATAGGCTATCTCTGTGCTGAGGGTCACCCTGAGTTACAAACTTAAGGTCTTCTCAGGTCTTTTCTGAGCCTGTGCCTTTCCCTGGACATGTATGTTGACTTTCTAATTTCCTACATATATACAGATGCTTTTGAATGTTCTAGCCTTAAGAAAAAAAAAGCATATCTTAGTCTTTAAGTCTTTAATGGCTCCCAAAAGATGAAATAAAGAAAAATGAAGGGGTTGGGGAGAATAGCAGTCCATGAAATCCCCTGGAGATCACTTAGCTGGTAGGGCAGGGGCTTGCAACAATAGAAGTGCAGCAAAGGATACCCACTTCTTTGCACCTCTGTGATCAGAAGCAATAATCAATGATCAGTGCATAGATACCGATACTTGGAGGTTACTGTCCTGATTGTCCACCCTGGCTCTACAAGCTGTGTGCAGGCTACTCCTGGAACACATGAACAGCTGCCTGCCTCAGAGCCCAGGAGTAGAGAATAGCTGCTACTGTGCTAAAAGCTGATATTGAATAAAATTAACCACAATTTACCATCCAAGTCTTCCCCTGGAAGTTATAAGCCTTCAATAGATGGCAGAATTCCAAAATAATTACATCAGATGGATTGTGCCAGTGCAATCATTTTCTAAGTTGGGAGACAGGTTCCCAGTTCTTCTTACTCCGCCATCTTCCCAGAATCTTCTGGGACTGCCTTTTATCATATCATCTCCACATTTTCACATTTTCTCTTCACTTTAGTAGTTTTCACCAGATTAAGAATTCGAATTTGATGCTAGCTGATATGCCATAGGCCTTGGTCTTTCCTGGGATGGAACTGGATTTTTCTTTATTTGTCATACACAAGGAAGAATTAAAAAATCTGAGCTCTAGGGGAGCCTGGGTGGCTCAGTCAGTTAAGTGTCCAACTTCAGCTCAGGTCATGATCTCACAGTTTGTGAGTTTGAGCCCTGAGTTGGGCTCTGTGCTGACAGCTCAGAGCCTGGAACCTGTTTCAGATTCTGTGTCTCCCTCTCGCTCTCTGCCCCGTCCCTGCTCACACTCTGTCTCTCTCTCTCTCTCTCTCTCTCTCTCTCTCTCTCTCTCTCTCATAAGTAATGAAATAAACATTAAATTTTTTTTTTAAAAATCTGAACCCTGAATCCTGTTTGCATTGTAAATAGCACTTTTTAAACAAGATACATATTCTTAAACCATGTGTAACTGACATATAACTGTGATATATGTGTTAAAATGTTTGCCTGGAAAAAATTGGACAATGTACCTGTCAAACAACTGAGTAGAGGTTTCCTATTTATTCAAATACCATGAATTTAGTTATTCTAAGTTCTATAAGTAAAAATATGTCATTGCACTGCTAGCCTATAGTCAGGGTTTCTTAGTTTTTCCTTCTCAGTGGTCTTTCAAGAGTTGGTCAAGAAACACTGAAATTGTATAAATGGAAAATTGCATTTAGTTCTCCTCAGAATATAATCATTCTAGTTTTTAAATCCAAAATGTTTGAATATTTTACAACCTTTTAAAAAACAAGTTCATGAGCATCTGATCTTTTTCTGTAAAAATTCCCGAAACATTATAGAATGACAGAAGTTTATTCTAAACCATATTAGATACTGCAAGCAAAAAAAATTTGGATAATTATATCCTAATTATATAACACTAGCATAATTAGTATACCATTGTGAAAATATAAAATAAATTTGATAATTACATAAATGGAATAAAGATAAGATAAAAAGTGAAGGGACTTAAATAGAATCATTTTAAAATTTAAATTTATATATTTTTTATCATTCACACACTTGAATTAGACTATAATGTTAAGATCCATGATTTTTATGTTGCCACAAAATTCATTTTCCATCTATTCAGAAAATTTGTGAAATTTTTGAAAAAATTAAGGAAAATCTATCTTATAGACAGTGTACATGGAAAAAATGATAGTAATATTAAAATAACCATAAATTTTCAATACTGAGGTTTGGTTGAAAATATTAAAGTTTGCATTAAAAAGAGATGAAAGATTCTGTCCCCCAGTCACATCTAGAGTTGGCTCAGAGTCATAATTATCAAACAGTTAAATACACGGAACAGTCTGCACCTCTTTATTTTCTGTAACACTTGAGCAGTCAGATTCTCACTTTATCCCACTTGGGGATGAAAACTCTTCTATTTTTTACAATGTTTGCTTTAAATAGATGCATAACATCTCACAATAGCAAGTAGCACATTTTCCTATAAATAAAAATCCTGCTACGCTCTCTTAATATTTGTAGTATAAAAGACAATTTCAAAGATTCTTTGTAAAAGTTATGCAAACTGAACTATGTACATTAATGTTTACTATTTGCAGGCTGCCTTAGAGAAAGAATGGCTAGCTTTAGATTCCGCCCGCTTCCCTTCACAAACACTGCTTCTCCCGAACCAGCTGCACTGGCCAAAGGTAACATGTCATGGAAATCTCTTAATGCTCCATCTTTGTTCGTTTCTTAAGGTTATGCCGTGCTGCAGTGATTAATAATGCAATTTATTGACTTGAAAAACACAATTACTTTTAGAAGCCTCTGACTTCCTCCTCATCCCCAGATGTAATTTTTCATGTAGCTTTTCTTTAGTTTGCTGCTAATTTTTTTCTTTATTTTGGATTTCTTTCAACACTTTATTTCACAGTAGCAAAAAAAAAAATGATATACTTCAGCTGCATATTTGGCAGCAGACTAAAATCACTAGTTGACAGCACTTTAAAAATACAAAAATATGCATTAAGAGGGCAACAGCTGAAGATTCTCAGTCAGAGGTCAATGGACTGCAATATCTGTTATTTATTTGATAATCTTTGAAGTTTTTGTTTTTTGATATTTTTTAAAATCTTTGCTATTAATCACTCTGTATATGCAAACTGTACCAAAAAAACATATCCCTTACCACTACAATAAAGGACATTTACATGTGTATTACATAAATTTAATTTTATTATAATTTTCAGTTTTTGTATGTGTTTCCCTTGGGAGGCTACTGAATAATATGCATGTAAAGTAATATGATATAAGTGCTAGAATTTTTCCATTTATTTTATACTTATACATTATTTTTCTGATAAGTTCTGTGGAACCTTAAAATATGATGATACTTCACTGAATTTACCAAGCCATCCAGCTCAAGCGTGGCTATGTAATGAGAAGGAAAATTTGTTTTCATCAGAACACTCACAGTTTAATAGCAGGTAAGCTAAATTACTCTTTTAGAAGATCAACCCATAACGAGAATACTATACTTATTACAAAAGTGGTAAAATGATGAAAATTAAGTACAAATTTATCTGCTTAGAAGATGGGAAAACAGTGTTAAGTGTAATGATTTTTACAGAGTTTTCAGTAAAAAAAAAAAGTGTGAGGTAGCTTCATTAAAACAACTACAAAAGTGTCAGTGAAATAATGTCATTAACTGTTGTAAACAACTGAACTTTAAAATACTATGATATAGGTAGAGATAAGGATTAGAATAAAAATTCCAGGGCTGCATTTCTTTCGACAAAAGGATTGAAATATGCTTCAAGTAATTGAAATGTAAACATTTTAAATTAATGGCAGACTTTTATTACTTTTCAAGATAAAGTTTTTCTGTAACTTAAATAGATTTTATTTCCGAGTTTGAAACAACATAAATAGTTTGTAGTTTTTTAAAACGTGCTGATATTCTTGTGTTGATTCAGTTAGTGTAGTTTTTTCTATCGCCAGACCAGAACACAGAACTTTGTCCTGGACACCTGAATCAAAGATCAGCAGAAAGAGTTCGCTAAAATCTGAAAAAGAAGAAAAAATTTCGAAAGAATGGTATGTGGTATATTTTAAACTAAAATATTAAGAAATTGAGAGACTTTAAAATTTTTAGGATAGACATTTTTCAAGACTTTAAGAATTATTAGTTTTTAAGAAACTATACATCTAGGTTCTTAAATGGAATCTAATTTGTTTTAGTATGATATAATTCAGATATGTGTGTTTGTATATCTATGTATATATAAATATGGTCTGAATATTTGTTTTTCCTTTATGCAATCTATTAATAGGGGCTTTAAGGACATTGCTACTGCTCAGCAAATGTTGAAGAGAGCACAGAAGATGAAATCAAAGAAATTAAGGAAAAAATTAGGTGGGTTGTGAATGCTCTTTGAATAATAATGTGTGTCTGATATTGAAGATAAATTGTCTTAAAATATTCTTTACCAAATCGTATTTAATAACATTTAATAAGAACCAAAATGAAATGTGCAGTTATGAATACGTCTAAGGTAATAATTCTGAAAACTCAACCAAGGAAACTTAGAGAAAATTATGTTATTACGTTAAATGATTTGTTATACACTTAAGTGCTATTTTCACTTTCCCTCTGTTTCTTATCTACTTTCTCATTGATTATTCTATCCATTGTGCACTGAGAATTATGCTGTAATTTGTTTCTAAGTTGGTTCATTTTGACAAATGTTGATTCTAGAGTGTCTGCTTCATGTGGTTATTCCTTTGTTTTTAAATTGCTTGATTATTCAATAAGCTATTTCTATAAGTTTGTTTGTTCCATGAACATTAGCTCTGAAGGCTTCACAACTTGACATTTTGGAAAAGAAGTACAGTGTATATCTTCACAATTATGTAGAACTTGGGAAATGTTCAGTGGCACCCTTTTTTTCTATCCCACTTGATTCTTCAAATCATTCTTTGGATACTTTTGATCATTTTAGTATCATTGCCTAATATGTGGAGTAGTTTATAGGTGTCAGAGCAAGAAACAGCACATTATTATGACTTTATAATTAAAACTACTTAAAATTATTAGCATATTGTATGTAACTTTGCATTTACTTATAATTTTATAAATATTTACTCAAGGACTCATAGACTTGATATAAGTAATGTGACTTTTAAAAAAAACTGGTTTTGAGTTTTTCTCATTCATTAGCTTCTTTTGTAGATTTTAAGAATTTTTGAGATTTTAATGGCAGTGAAATGTTTTTGTAAAAGTACCATCAGTCCTGAGAAAAGCAAAGAATCTATATTTATCTTGTAGTTCTAGCTTATTTAAGTATACAAAGAAGCATTTAGAAGATTAATTTTTATCTTTATTAATTTTCCTATTTATTATTTAAAAATTATTTATTATTTCCTATTTATTATTTAGGTAATACTTAATGATGACTCCTTCTATTTATTATTTTAATCATTAATTCGCTGGTAGAATTCTAAGAAAAATATATATGTATATATTTATACATATATATATATATGTATATTTATTTATTTATTTATTTATTTTTTTTTTTTTTTAATATAAGGGGTGCCTGGGTAGCTCAGTCAGTTAAGTGGCCAACTTCTGCTCAGGTCATGGTCTCATGGTTTGTGAGTTGGAGCCCTGCATCGGACTCTGTGCTGACAGCTCAGAACCTGGAGCCTACTTCAGATTCTGTATCTCCCTCTCTCTTTCCCCCTCTCTCACTCACACTCTTTCACTTTCTCCTCTGTCTCTCTCAAAAATAAAGGTAAACATTAAACAATAATAATAATAATAACCAAGATACTCTTAGTTTCCAAGGAATAGCTGATCTTTCTTGGCACAGTACTTTATTGATAGATTTCTGATGATTTATTTTTATATTCCAAAATGTCAACTTTCCATTTTTTGGTGTTTGTTATATTAGTGATATCGTTTATCTTTTTGAGATAGGTGTAGTACTTTTTGTTGTGTGCTAACAGTTTGTAAAGTTTGAAAGATTGAAATTTTAAACATTTTTAAAGAAAATGTAGCGGTGCCTGAATGACTCAGTTGGTTAATTAAGCATCTGCCTTCAGCTCAGGTCATGATCTCTGGGTTCCTGAGTTTGAGCCCCACGTCAGGCTCTGTGCTGACTTGCTTTGTGCCTCCCACAGTCTTGTTTTATAAACTCCTATGAAGTTCATCAGGACTCAGTGAACACAATACTATAAGGTGGTTCCCAAGGATTAGTAACTCCAAACTCTTAACGATAGTGAGACTTTCTTTCAATCCTAGGGAAATGGAATCCAGTATAGTAAGTCAGGGTAGTTTGACAAACTTTTTTATTGCTTTGATGTATATATTTTTTTTCATCTTCAGTAGCACCAACAAACATTCTTTAAATAGCTGTTTTGAGAATAATGAAAGTTTCTGAAATTCCTGGGGGAAGTTCAGATATTAGAAGTGTCAGAAGTACTATTTCAGCCAATGTTCAACAATTGTTGAACAAATGTTCAATTACTTATGTTCAAGGTCTATTTTTTAAAAGATATTCACAATGTTTGTAATAGTTTCTGATAGTGAAGCTAAGAAAAAATCTATCTTAGTAGAATCTATCTCTGGAAATGTATAGATCTTTCTTGCTCATTCTTATAACTAAGTGATTTTTGTTGATAAAAGCATTTTTAATAAATCAGCATAGTAAATAATATGTTTTAGCAAAAGGTTTAATAAGGAATATATGCTCATACAAAAAACCATTGTGTTAAAGGACAAAAATTAGACGTAATAATTATCAGGCAAAATCAAACATTTTTTATCTGTCACAAGGTGGCATGATAGAGTAACAAATGTAAAAGGACAACCAAACATACAAATTAACAACCTAATTTTAAATTCAACATTTTGCCAGTGGCCATTAAGCATGATCTGTTAGGTAAAGGTCTAAAATGGCAATTGTATAATTTTTATGGATATCATTACTCTAATTGCATGATTATAAACCAAATTGCATTCTTACTACTGAGTTTGTACCCTTGTTAAGCTTTTGTTTTGCTTTTGTTTAATCAAAATATTATTATATTAATTAAATACAAGTAATTTTTTTCTTTTAAATTTGAATTCCATAATGTACAACTTAATGATGACATTTAAATTCTCCTCATTCTTTTTCTCTACTGCCTCATCACAGCAGATACTCAGAATAGAAATACTCAAGGTAAGATTAAGGATGAAATAATGAACAAGAAAATCAGAGGGATCTTCTCCAATTATAATACCTTAGTCTTCTACTAGATTAATAATGTAGCACTTATGTCATTTTGTATCTGTGAATGAATCGTATAAGATTGTACCTCTGGTTTTCTTCTTACAGAAAAAGAACTTTCTAGTACATTTCCAGTTTACAATTCAATATGTAAAATCCTACTACCTTATTTAAATCTGCCTAAAATAATGGCCATAATTTTAAACTTTTACTAAGAAGTTAAAATGATGCTTTACATACTTCAATTATATTAAACACTTAAAAATTAATAGTAATTTTCAAATATACATGGAGATATATATATATATATATATGTGTATATATATATATATATATATATATATATATATTACATGGATAACATGCCAACTTGAAAATCATAAGCCACCAGAGGGCAACATTGTCCATAAAACTACGGGAGACTATCCATCTTTGTGGGGGTAGGGAGGGTGGTAGGTGAAACATCAGAGGATAGAAACTTTTAATGAAATGGAATCAATTATGTCCTCCAACCTAACAAAGCTGTAATCCTCAAGGAGTGGGGTATAAATGCACAGGTTATGGAAGCTTTAATTCAAATTTCTACCATGAAAAACCTTAGCACAAGTTGCTCAGTAGCATAATACTTCCCGTTTATATCTTATACGTGTATTTATTAGCCAAGGGATATGAGTCCACAATTTTTGTTTGAAGATGAGAGTGAAAATAGGGCAAAAGGCTGGGGGTCAATTATTCAAAGAAAGTTGCAGATAGGGGAGGAATACCACTGAGTTTGCTGATTAATAAAGAAGCAAGGGGCCAAGGAAACATACAGTGTAGGCAACCATCAGGGGAGAGTCAGTATTAATGACTTCTACTGGGATAAAAGAGGTCATCTGCTTTAAACAGAAAAAGCCAGAAGAGGAGGGGGAGAGGGAAGAGGAATTGATTGGAAGTCAGAGGATGAAATCTAAAATTGTGAAGAGTTATATTTACTTAGTTTGAGTTTGGGTTCTGATTATTGTTATTCCTAGTAAGTTATTGCGTTTTTTTCTCATGATGGACATAAGCATGAACCAGTAATGACTGTCTTATCTTTATGGAGTTTTTATTTGTTTGTCTTTTTGTATTTACTGTTGCCTCATGCACAGAAGTAATTTTAGAATTTGGTGATCTGTGTTGGAATTTAGCGAATACGCAGGGAAGGTTAGGGTGTATAACTACCGTGGAAAGCATGATGTGCAAGATGTGAGTTGCTGGTTTACTGAAAACATAAGAGTCAATAACCTAAAAGTAATGAGCTTGACTGGTAGCAAGATTGAGAGGAACAGGGTCAGGGAAGAGAGTAAGTGCTTTGTTTTGATGTGGAACACTTCTCAGAGAGGATAAGTTCTGAGTATAGGGATTTGGGTGGAGAGCCCTTAAAAAGTTTAAAGGCTAAGAATATAAGGACAAAAACACAATGTGGTCTTTCAATATTTATCATATTTATGCATATCACATTTCAAATTTCATTGAGTAAAGAAAGAGTAGGATGAAGCAAAAGAAGTTAATTTAGTTCTAAAGCTAGGGCTACACTAGGGATAAGAATCATCTTGCAGCAGTTTGTAACACCTAGCACAGTGTCAAGTACATAGTAAGCACTCAATAAATACTTGTTCATTTTATTTTAGCGATGAAAATAGCTTGAGACTGTGTTGGTAACATGTATTTGTAGTCAAGAATTAAGCCAGGTAGAAAATAAGTTAGACTAACTTTTTAATGTGACTTGAGCAGTCATGGGCTACCACAAAGAGATCAGGTTGCAAAATGATAAGGTAAAGAATGAATGTGAAGGATCAAAAGGGACTAGAATAGATAGAACTGTGACAAAATTAAGTTTATTGATAATTTGTTTTGTTTACTTCAGTGATTTCTAAAAATAATTTATAAGAATTTTGGTCATGTGGTGCCTGGATTAAGCGTCGGACTCTTGATTTTGTCTCAGGTCCTGATCTCACAGTTTGTGGTATCATGCCTGGCGTCAGGCTCTGTGCTGAGCATGCTTGGGATTCCCTCTCTCTTTCTCTGTCCCTCTCCTGCTCGTGCACTCTCTCTCTCTCTCTTTCTCAAAATAAATAAAATAAAAACATTTTGTGATCAAACATTAACTTTGTTGCGCTAGCAAAACAATAATAAAATCCATTTGAATAGTAAGATCCTTGAGGTGAAGACACTCCTTGTTCCCCACCTAATATCATACCTGGCATATGGTAGATATTCAATCAACAACTATTAACTGTATCAGCAGTAAATGAGATAAAAGTCACTAAATACCTTTGTGTGTATGTGTATGACTGGGTATGTATATTATAGTCATTTAAATATATGTTTCTATTTGGGAAGGCAAATTTAAATTAGTAAGTAAATGATGAAATAGTCATCAGACTTAAAACATATTTTACAGCACAGCTGTACTTTGCACATACAAAAAATGGGTAATAACCAGGTTTTTATGTATGAAGTTAACAAGAATAAGATCAACCAGTGAGCTAAGATTAGGACTGTAGAAACTGAAAAGAGATTATATAGGAGATGAAATAATTTTAAGGTTGTTCTAATGCCTAAATAAAGTTATGTTACTTAAATGAGATAATGAAGTGTTGAGTATGGAACCACATACATAATAGAAACTCAACTTACTTATAGGTTTCTTTAAGTATTTTATAAAGATGTATTTAAAATCTATTTCCCAGACATTGGGCAAGCCATACTGGGAGACAAAAGATTTTTAAAACAGCAACATAGACTTGCCATTGATGACCTCAGAGGGTAGATTTAAATGTACAAAATTGATTTTATGATGCAAGAAAAAGGTTTCACAAGCTGAACTCTTTACAATAAGTTTGTACCCTAGCTTATTTTTTGAGGGTAAGAGTAGTGTCTTATTTCACAGTGGTATTTCCAGGGGCTATCAAAATCAAGTGATTTTTCCCCCCATCTAGAATACTGTTTCTTGCTTCTTTATTATCCCTTTGAAATTTGAATTAATGTAAGTTTTAAATAAATTAAAGGTTGCAATCAGAATGTTTTAAAATGAAAGGATATTGAAAATATAGCGCTGTTTATGCGCCCTTGTAGAGTAAATTTTTTTTTTTGAGTAAATTGAGCTAGACAACTTTTCTAGATATTTTTGTATGTATTCTTTAATCTTGATAATAATATGAGGAAAGTGCTATTTTTTTCTCTGTTTTACATATTAAGAAATCAAGTCATGGAGAGATTATTTGCCCAAAGGAGTACCAAAGAATTTATAAAAGATCTACAGCTATTATTCTGTGTGCTATATAAATAAAATGGGTAAAATGAAGCCAATTATGGACCATCAATTAATATCATCTTATTCTATGGAGGATTTAAGATATTTTCTGAGAATAGAATTGCCAAGTTGGAAATATTATTCTTATTTATGTTGTGGTTATATGTTAACTAGCCAGCATTTGTTGAGCACTGACACTTTGCAGACATGAGTCTTGATGCTTTACATACATTATTTCATTAGTTCTTGCAGTAGTATTTCAAAGTTAATATTATTTCTCTTGGGTAGAGAAATGAAGGAGAGAGGGCAATTTGCCCAGAGTCACACAACTAGTAAAAATTAGGTCTCGGGTCTAATCCAGTTCTGTCGAATTGTAATGTCTTTGCTCAGGACGCTCATAGATGAAATGGAATAGCAAGAACAGGAGAACATGTAGAAAGATCAGTAGGTTATAAGGTATCATACAGAACATAAGCCCATGGTAATCTGTCTTCCCTGACTGACTAATGCTCCTTTTGACATGTCAGCATGGTTTTTCATAAATGACTTAAACAATATATAATGTTTTATTAAATACAGAGGTACCATTTTTTAAAAATCTGTTATTCTTATTTCTAATTTATGTTGAATTCATATAGACACACCCAACTCTTACAATACCTTAGGTCACATATAATTATGAGACATGCCCAAATATTGACTAATATTTTCCCTAATCTTGAGAAATATAATCTCTGTGAACCATGGAAATCATGCTTATTAGTATGGGTAATTATTGCTAAAAGACTAATGGAAATCTTCAGTTTCCACATGCTTAAAAAATAACTCTACAACTACTATTCTGTTTTTCTAATAATATTCTAAAAATATGCTATCTTAGCATTTAATTGAAGTATGTAGTTTGAGCTTTACACTATTTAAAATCATATTTTTCTATTTAGCATATTCAATGTTACTGCATTAGATATTAATTAAAGATTTTAAGTTATCCTTTTGCAAGATGATGTAAGATATTAAGAAATGTATGCTGCCCTTAAATGTGGTTTTATGTTAACCTACTTGAAATGCATAAATTTCCATTCTTTATTCTACTCCATTGCTTACACCACTATTTTCTTTTCTCACAGTTCTTCAATAAGCAAAAAGTACAACTGCACCAAATCTCCAATTTACATTCCATAGAATCATTCATTACCAGTAAATTATAGGGCCCTATATTTACAATCATCCCATTTATTTTGTAAAATTAATAGATTTAGAGTGCTCTTGGCTATAAAATGTATATAGAATTTCCATAAATTCTTTGTTATGTAAATATAATACATTAGGACAAAAGCAAAACCGTTATTTTATCCATAAAATTAATGAAATGATCTTTGTCTCTCCTATCAATTGTCTTGCTTACATCTCCTTTTTCCCAGGTCCTCATATGTAGAGGAGAGAATAGTAGGGTATATGGCCTTTCCTGTAATAACAGCTTTCACCTATTATGAATTTATAGAAATTTTACTTTATTCCAGCAGAAATCAGGAATTTAAGAAAGGAGCTAAAATAAACAGTAAAACAATTCCCAAAATAAAAAGATGATGCCATTACTAGAAAGTGTTTATGTGATTTTTTTCACATTATTAGCATTTCTGTGCTCTGTATTAATTATTGGCTATGTACTTAATCAGAAAACCAAGAATATGTGAATGGTTAGTTACTATTTCATATTATGAAACTTTGACATAATTACCAATATCACAGTGATTTATAGAGTGGGTATTATTTTTTAATACTATCATAAAAAAATATAGCCACTTCAGAGATAGAATGAGCCAGAGCTGAACTTTTGTCTTATCTTGCTCTTTTTGTCTAGATCCCACTGTTTGCCTAGAATTATTCAAAAACAATGAAAATAAAGTTTCTGTTACAAAATCACCAAAGAAGGCACAGCCCAGAAGAGATGATCACTTTGAAGGTATGGTTTAATCATAGATACATAGGTAAAAAAGGTAAAGATGGAGTATGGGATTGTTGAATCACCGTATCATACACCTGAAACTAATATAGTACATTAAGTAACTAGAATTGAAAGAAAAAGTTAAAAAAATAAATAAATAAAATAATTTGTAGAAAAAAGATAAAGATGGAAAATTGTATCTCAAATAAAAATTTTTAGGGGTGCCTGGGTGGTTCAGTTGATTTAACATCTGATTCTTGATTTTGGCTCAGGTCATGATTTCATGGTTTGTAGGATCAAGCCCCACTGCACTGATAGCAAGGAGCCTGCGTGGGATTCTCTTTTTCTCCCTCTCTCTCTGCCCTGATAGTGCGGAACCTGATGCAGGGCTCAAACTCACGAACAGTGGTATTATGACCTGACCCGAAACCAAGAGTCAGATGCTTAACCAACTGAGCCTCCCAGGCACCCCAATAAAATAAGTTTAATTCTCAGCAATCCTAAAGTACATATATGAAATATTATATATAAGGTATAATTAAATAAAAGTCAAAATATGTCTCTTGGATCTAAAATACTAATTTAGTGCATCGATTCATTAGCATAGTAGTTTAGTATTTGTATCAGTGCTTACATAAATTTAAATTTCTTATATTTTTATGTGAAATCTTATAAAGCTATTTCATCAGTGTTACTAATTTTATTCAAATTTTACACTGACTGATATTAGCCAATATCAGTGGAAGTGAACCCATGTGGAAATGATATTCTAATATATTTACTTTACTGCCAATATACACAAATTGCATTAAATGTTATAAATTAAACTATGGAATTTTAAATATTTTACTATATTTGAAGCTTGCCCAACTGACTTTTGGGGTAAAGGATTTATACATCTAAATGGCAGATTATATTTCTGATTTCAGCATTTGGAAGAATTATGGACTTACATTATTGAACAGAAATATTTAAATATGTCAGAGAAGCCAACATGACTTAACAATAAGTTTGCCATTGCTTTCTCTTTAATATTACAATATTCATAATTTTATCTATACTTTTGGATTATAATTTCTAATAGGAAAAATACATTTGAAGGGAAGTGAACCACTTAGAATTTTTAATACTCTGTCTTCTATACATTTTAAGTAAGTCTTAAAATTTATGCATTATTGGAGCACCTGGGTGGCTCAGTCGGTTGTGTCCATTTTTAGCTCAGGTCATGATCTTGTGGTTTGTGAGTTCAAGCCTCACGTCAGGCTCTGTGCTGACAGCTCGGAACCTAGAGCCAGCTTCAAATTCTGTGTCTCCCTCTTTTTCTGCTCCTCCCCCACTTGTGCTGTCTGACTCCCTCTCTCAAAAGTAATTATTAAAAAATTATGTATTATTATAGCATATTGAAAATAGATATTTTTATTTACAGAAGAAAAATTTGATAAACCCCAAATGTATACTTTTCTTTAGATGCCTATTAAGTATGTAGCAGTGGAAGACATGGGGTCTAGAATTTTCTTTAGTAGTAAATATATACATAAGAAGATAGATAAAATAAGTATAGCAAATTATTGAATTTTTTTGGATCAGTAGATGATGGTATATGTAGGCTTGCTCTACCATTCATTTGTTTTTTAATATTAGAAATTTTCCTTAGAAAAACATTTTTAAAAATTCGTGACCATTGAAGGTGTCAAAAACCAATATTTCAAAAAATACTTATCAATTAGTATTTTAACAAAATTAAAATATGTTTTCAATATAAAATAGGGCTTGGGTTTTAATTAGTTAATTTCCTTATTACAGTCTTAATTTCACCATTTCACTGTGAAAGAGGTGAAATTCTGCTAAAATCAATAACAATACCACAGCTATTACCTGTTAAATAGAAGCATTGTTACTTTAGAAAGGCAATGCCTAGTGAGAAAGATAATTGGGGCATTTTTGCCCTTTAAATTAGCATACATCTCACAATCAAAAGAGAAATCTATCCCAGCCTGTTCTATAGGTCGCATTATCTTGTTCTGTGAAGTGTGAAGGTATGCTACCAGCTAGAATAGAATATATATGGTATATTTATAGATTTGTGTGTTAATATAAAATATGCTAGGAATAGTTCAAATACTGACAGAAATAAAGTAGACTATAGAACATAGAACATTTCTACCTATGCTTCATGATATGAAGTTATATGTTTTTGTTTACTTTCATCCATATGAAATGCATTTAATTTACTTTTTTTTTTCTTTTTGCAACCTCAAATATGTTTGTCATTTCATTATTTTCACTGAATGGTCATTATGTATTATGTGGGTACCAGATAATCTAGTGACTGACAGTTATTTTCAGCGTTGGTGTTCTTTTTTTGTTTTTTTTGTTTTTTTGTTTTTGAAGGAATAGGCTTGGCAAAAACAGCTGTACATGGAAGAACTTTTTTTACCTAGTATGTTTATTTCTACCTTCTTTTAAGAGGGAAAGAGTGAGGCAAAGGTAATTTGATCATTGCTGGCCAGGTTGAATCTCAAGGTGACTTTACCTGTCTCTCTGGCATCACATGCTTCCTGGACTCACATTATTTCCTAACTTGCCATAAGGGCCAGTCGGCTTCCCCCTGAGTAGCCTGACTCACCCCAGCTTCCCAGTAGAGGGCACATTTTAAAATCAGGCCTTTTGAGGGGCGCCTGGGTGGCGCAGTCGGTTAAGCATCCGACTTCAGCCAGGTCACGATCTCGCGGTCCGTGAGTTCGAGCCCCGCGTGGGGCTCTGGGCTGATGGCTTGGAGCCTGTTTCCGATTCTGTCTCCCTCTCTCTCTGCCCCTCCCCTGTTCATGCTCTGTCTCTCTCTGTCCCAAAAATAAATAAATGTTGAAAAAAAATTTAAAATCAGGCCTTTTGAGATACAATTTCTATAATATAAAATGCACCAGATTTAAGAGTACAATTCAATGAATTTCAATATATTCACAATAACACAACTATCATCACAATCTCATTTTAGAGCATTGGAAGGACTTTTCCCTTAAAAATTTCAAATGAAATTAATAGTTGGGCATCTTACCCCCCAAAAGTGAGGGAGATCAGAATTAAATCTCAGTGTAGGTTTAGATTGAATGTTCTATCTGAAACATTCTCTCAGCACAATGGCATCGCAACACGGTCTTATAATTTCCTTGGTTTTGTTGAGATTAGATGATAGTATTATTCGATGATTTCTCCCTATAATTCCCATTTATAATAACACTGTGTGATTTTTTTTAATGTTAAGTTTAAAAACTATTTTCTTCTCCACTTTGCAATATTATCTGTGGGGTATTTCCATGATTTCTCTTATATATTATACTAAAATTATTTAGTTCTTATTGCTGCTTTTTTCTGAATGTCACTAATAGGACAGAGAGGGTGGTCCATATCCTCTATTAGGCAAAAAAAAAATACACTTAAATTTGAGGAATATTTGATGAAATATCAAATAATATTAAGTGCTATAAGGTAAAAAATTATTCCCTTTTAATAGACCATGTTTTACAAAGTATCTTTCTATTTTGCAATAACATGAAATATTGACAATTTTTGTCTAGCTGCCAGATTTAGAGCTGTAACCTTATGAAGGCTGAGGAACTTTTGACCATACCTGGTCCTAGGGTATGTGCAGTATGTTAGGTATCAATCAGTTATTCCTGTGAGACATGTGCAGTATGTTAGGTATACATGTGCAGTATGTTAGGTATCAATCAGTTATTCCTGTGAGACAAAGCTAAGAGTCTGAGGACTTTACAGATTCAACATTGGTTTACTTGATTGACTTGTTTATTTATTTATAATTTATTTAATGTTGGATTACTGTTTTCCTTTACCCTAGGTCACCCATAATCCCTACTTAGGCTTCAGTATCTGATCTTGCCTTAGACTTTGAAACACTTTCTTGATTATTACCTCAGAGATCTCCTACCAAGTTTCCTTTTTTATGGTAAAATGCTCAGTGTAGCATCCTGACATCACTCTTCCATAGCTATCACTGGTATAAAAAGAAGCCTAGTTTAATAAAGATAAGTCTAGATTCCAGAGTTAGTCTAACACTAACTGCCTGAGTGGAACTGAATCTTGATTCCACCATTTATTGACTCTGTAGCCTTGAGGACATTATTTAACTTCCCTGTTTAGAATTATTTTTCACGTGTAAAATTGGATACTAATAGTACCTAGTTGTTGGGGATTACATGAGATCCTCCTTGTAAAATGCTTGAAATACGCAGTATAAATATATAGTTAAGTCCTCAAAACTTGTAACCATTTGCAATAGTCATTTTAAAAGTACAGCTTTATTCTTTTTTCCTCTTGCTTGCAATTGGTAGTATTTATTGTATTTCTTGCTAGGTAGGTACTGTGCCAAGAGTTTTACTTAAATTCTCTGATTCAATCTTCAAAAACTCTGAAGAATGTATTATAACTGGCAACATTTTACAGATGAGGGAACTGGTTTTGAGAGTTTGATAGGTGATTTGCCCAAGATCATACAGAGAGTAAGTGACTGAACAGAAATGGAGATAGTTTCTTTATGGAAACAATGCTAGCAAAAATCAAACAAAATGCAGACACTGAAGAGCAAAGGTTCTTGGATAACGCTGAAATGTATATATAACCTTAGAATCAAAATATTTAAGAAAAAGAATGAAGACTAATGATTAAGTTAGGCAAAACTCTGGGAAACTAATAGCCAATTTTGTTCTTTCTCATAGCTTGCATTAATATAAATTAAGAAACAGTTTAGTACCAACATGGTGATAAATGTCTAATTTGTGCCATGTAATTAACTCCTACCTCATCTAATATTATTATTAATATTATCATGATTATCTAACATTATTAGGGACCGTATGTTAGACTTTAAAAGTGACCATATTTTTAATCACCTATTTTAATTTTCAGATATGTGAGAACATCTCCACACAGCCCAAAAGTAAACACTCTACTTTTGAATCATTTTTTCTTATTATTATTTATTCACAAATTAAGTGACATTC